CAAATTCGATGTGGAGGATGTGCTCTCGAAGCTTAACAATGTGGAAAAGGTTTCTTTGTTAGCGGGTGGATACATCCAACATCCCTACAATCCCCAAGATCACGATGTCTAACAACGTCCAGGTACCGATTGGTGGCATACAGCCGCCATCCCCAAGTACAATGTGCCTTCGATTCGAGTGTCAGACGGCCCTAACGGTGTGCGTGGTACCCGGTTCTTTAACGGTATCAAAGCGGCTTGTTTTCCTTGCGGCACTGCTCTTGCTGCAACATGGGACGCTAAACTCCTTCATCGCGCAGGTGTTTTGATGGGGGAAGAAGCGAAAGCAAAAGGTGCACATGTGATTCTTGGACCCACCATCAATATGCAAAGATCACCCTTAGGGGGCCGTGGCTTTGAATCTTTCAGTGAAGATCCTGTGTTATCGGGGATAGGCGCCGCTGCACTGGTTAATGGTATTCAAGAGACCGGGGTTCAAGCTACAATCAAACATTTTGTTTGTAATGACCAAGAGCATAACAGAAATGGCGTGAATGTTATGATTACAGAGAGAGCATTGAGGGAGATATATTTACTACCATTCCAATTGGTGGTTAGAGATTCGAAGCCGGCATTATTCATGAGTGCTTACAACAAAATTAATGGGACTCACGTTAGTGAAAATCCAAGGATCCTTCAAGATATTCTGCGTGGAGAATGGGGCTGGAGTGGATGCATTATGAGTGACTGGTGGGGCACATACTCCACTACGGGTGCCATTAATGCTGGGCTGGATTTGGAAATGCCGGGTTCAACCAAATGGAGGGGTCCAATGTTGATACAAGCTGTCAGCACTGGAAAGGTACCCCAACATATTCTGGACAAACGAGCCAGGAACGTGCTCAATACTGTCAACCGTGCTGCAGATGCGAATGTTCCAGAAAATGCGGAGGAAAAAACGGCCGATACTCCAGAGACAGCAGCTCTTCTCAGAGAGATAGCAGGTGACTCGATTGTGTTGATGAAAAATGAGGGCAGCGTATTACCATTCCGAAAAGATAAAAAGGTAAGATAGTATATCCAGTTATGGCTACGCGCCTACTCCGGGCTAATCTCTATAGACTTTTATTGTTGGTCCCAATGCCAAAGTTGCTACATTTCATGGAGGTGGATCAGCATCCCTGGCAGCATACTACGCTGTCACACCATTTGACGGCATCAGTGCACAGCTGGAATCAGTTCCATCCTACACTGTAGGGGCTTACGCACACAAGGACCTCCCATTGCTGGATCTAGTCTTGAAGACAGATAAGGGAGAAAGAGGTTTCTCTTTTCGAGCATATAACGAGCCACCGACAGCTGAACATAGAGAACCAGCAGATGAGATAACACTTACCAAGACAGAACTCTTGATGATGGATTATCAATCTCCCAACCTGAAGAACGAATTATGGTGGGCTGACGTTGAAGGATACATGACTGCCGAAGAGGACTGTGAATTTGAATTCGGCTTAGGAGTATATGGAACTGCGAATCTGTATGTGGATGGCAAACTAGTCATTGACAACACAACAAAACAGACCAGGGGAACCATGTTTTTCTCGTGTGGTACAGTTGAAGAACGAGGTGTCGTATCGCTAAAGAAAGGACAAACTTACCAGCTCAAAATTGAGTTTGCCAGTTCACCAACTTGTAAGCTGGATAAAGGAGACAATGTCCTATTTGGTCCTGGTGCCATACGACTTGGTGGCGCGAAAATTATTGATGCAGATGAGGAAATTGCGCGTGCAGCAGAAATGGCCAGAGAAGCCGATCAAGTAATCATCTGCGCCGGTCTAAACGTGAGTTGTCGCCTATCTGTGCAAAGAACATTTCTAACGATTTTTTAGTCCGACTGGGAAGGCGAAGGAGCCGATCGGGAAATCTTCGGTCTCCCATTGTACATGAACAAGTTGATCTCGACCCTCACCCCTCTCAACCCCAACACAGTCGTTGTGATTCAATCCGGCACTCCCGTCGCCCTCCCTTTTCTACCCACAACCCCTGCTCTTCTTCAAGCTTGGTATGGGGGCAACGAGACCGGCAACGCTATCGCCGATGTAATCTTCGGTAAAACTAATCCCTCGGCAAAATCACCTTTATCGTTCCCGAAGAGAATTGAAGATAACCCAGCCTTTTTGAGTTTTAGATCTGAGAGGGGTAGAGTCATTTATGGCGAAGACATTTATATAGGGTATAGATGGTATGAGGCACGGAATTTACCTGTTCTATTCCCCTTCGGTCATGGACTTAGCTACACCACTTTCACAATATCTGATCTGAATGTCGAGAGAATTGATCAGAAGATCAAGGTCTCGGTGGCAGTCAAAAATACAGGAGAAGTCTCAGGAGCAGAGGTCGTTCAAGTTTACATCCAGCAACAAAATCCATCTATTCGCCGACCAAAGAAAGAATTGAAGGGATTCGAGAAAGTATTTCTAGAGGCTGGAGAGGAGAAAAAGGTGGAGGTTGAGATTGAAGTGAAATATGCGGCAGCACTTTGGGATGAAGTGAGAGAGGCTTGGGTTGTGGAGAAGGATGTATACGATGTTCTTGTGGGTAATACCAGCGAGTTGACTGGAGAGTTGAAGGCAACATTTGAGGTAGAGAGAACGGAATGGTGGAATGGTTTGTAGATTGATGCTCGCAAGAGCGAGGATTGAAGGGCTTAGCTTCATTGCTAGATGCATAACATATGTGCAAATTCTATTAATTGGTGATGATTCCCGATATTCATATTTTTGAGACAGGAGGTAGCTACCTAAGAGGATTCTTTCTATTTTCATCATCTACGTATTCTTACTCACATAACGAGGTAAACTCTATTTCAAGGCTGTGCATCTAGTGTTTTGTCTGCGCATTACTCAATCTCCAGATTTACGATTGTTACGTATTCCTAGCAGTTTCAGTGCTCTCTAATGCCTTTCGTTTTCATTTTGAGAGGTTCTCACAATTCATTTCATAGGGAGTGTCGATATATCAAGTCCTGATCTACAACTTCAACATAAGTCAGTGCAGAATCTGGTTCTATGAGATTGTGTATTTAGGATGGAGCACTCCGACTTGAGAATTTCACAATGTTTTGCGCTGGGACTCGGGCCGAGATGAGATGAAGTGTCACTAATCAGCTGTTCAGAGATATTGTCAGTTCATATCAATTCAGCGGTGGTGATTATGACTTATATTACCCATTGAATATTGCATTGATAGTCGATGGGTTCTTTTTATCTCAACAATAGACTAAATAGTGTTCGTGTTCGTAACATCTATCATTTGACTAAATATGCACCCTGTGTCCTCAATCCCACCTCTACACTCCTCTCTCAATTAACAAAAAACGTTCTCGAATCCCCCCATCTAGTCAAGCTCTTTTTTCCCTTTTCTCCAACATCAACATCCCAAAAGAGTTTCGCAAGGATTCATCGCATTTCCGTCCATGCTAAATGTTTCCCCTGCATTGTTCTGGTTTCATGCTGAAAACTTGCACCACTTCTCGAACATCTTTTTTGTATTCTGAAGTACTCTTGAAATTTGAGGATTTGGATAGAGGAGCTAACGGGTAGGACTGAAGGAGATGGGGTTGTGGAAGTGAAGAGGAAAAGGTAAGAGATGGCAGGAGGGATGAATACACCTGTCTAATTTGGTAATTGTGTTAGGTCTGTGACTTCAAGTAATATAAGGAGATGACAAAACTAAAACCAGCTAGTGAGGAGATATCACTTACTGTATCACTTCCCTCTAGAACAATTTCCGGCAACATCATTGGAACGAGAAATCTCAAATCCTCCAAATCACCGTATTCAGAAAGTCCAATTTCCGTTAATCTTATTAGTGTGATATCCCTCTCCTCTCCAAATTCTCATCGGATCTCAGCAACCAATCTCTTAAAAATATCATAACAAGAATCCTTTAACGATAAGTCAGAATCCCGCTCAGAGGTGTGGCTGCCGTTCGATGACTTGGGCCATGTGATCCAGCCTCTCGAGTTGTCGGTTCAAGTGTCGAGAAAACTTTATCGCGGATTTGTTGATAATGATTTTGCTGTAGTTTTTTGGGGTTATGGGGGATGCATTTCATTAGGAGGCATTCAAGCCAGTGATAAAACAGATGAAATGGCTTTAGTTAAGTTGAAGTTTCTAACATACTGGATATTTTGGGAAAGGGGGATGGTTGGGTCGAACGAATAAGTTGTCGGTCAAGACGGAGAGGTGGGAGAAGGAGAGTACATTGCAAGCGATGCGGAGGATGGATTCGTATTTTTCGTTGAGAGAGAGGATTTGGTGGATGAGGGTTTAGCGAATCAGGGAGGTGAAGGGGAGGGGAGAGGAAAACAAGGTCTTGTACGAGGAATGCGGGGAAAAGGACAGTCAAGTTGTAGAAAGTGGTTGTTAGAAGGTGCTATTAATTAGCAAAAAGCTCTATTGGATTGTAAAAAATCACTCCGAGGATGACGGAGAATGTAATTCCTATGACTGAGCTTATGTCTAACATTCCAAGAGCATTGTCTCAACAACACCTCCAAGACTACACATAAAGTTTTGATTGGCAGGTCCACATCCGAAGATTGATTTTCTCATATAAATTGAGATTCAGATCTTCCAGCTGAGTAACAGAGCAAGGCGTTGGTCTAATGTTGGTAAGATCCACCGGGGACTGGTCTGTTGGAACTTTACTAAATCCTGCAACTTGCTGACACGAAACTCGTACGTATTCCAACTGAACAAAGAGAAGCCCATAGTCTAATACCGATACAGATCCGCGCTGGAATTTGGATGTAAATTTGGCTCGGGGGCGATTCCGAGAATGAAAACAAATCATCTCACTGCGTGGAAATTTCATGTGTCGCTTTTGTAGTGCTGGAGAGAATATATGGAATGATACGCTGTGAGCATCTTGAGTGTGATAGTCTAACCGAAGCCAATTCTCCAGATACGTTCTTTGTCTGTACTCTGCAGTGTTCTCTCCACACCAGTCCCAGAATTTCATTCCGTCCCACTTTCTCCTTCATTAGAACCCTTCAAAGCAAGCAACAAATCCTCTCTTGGACCCGGATGTATACGTCCCCAAGGGATCACACACGCTCCATAATTGCCCATGTTCAAGCCCTCCGACAATCCCGCCCAAAGCTCTGTATACGCACCCATCTTCGCCTTATACAAAAGCGGCCACGCAGCATGATACATCGATTTTGCATTCCTCATCAAATTTGTTTTCAAATTATCTGGATTCTGCGATACACTCAGAATCCCGAATTCGCCAACTTTTTTCGCTAGTTCACTAGCCAAGAACCAGTTGCCGATTTTAGAATTATTGTAATCCTTGACTTGGTCTTTCGGGTGAGTACCGAGTTCAGACATGATAATCCCATCTTTGGGGGCCGTAAACTCTGAGAACTGAGAATATGTCCAGACCACACGGACAGCGCCACGTTTGGAGTCTTTTGTCGCAGCTTTCAGGCATGGGAGAAGATGCTGGGTGAAGAGGGACGGACCTAAACAATTCGTGGCCATTTGAAGCTCAAAGCCTTGTTTAGAGACGCTACCTCATGCTGGTTGTGATACGCCTGCATTATTTCAGAAGACGTCGAGCTTTGTCTCTTTCTTTCATGAAGGACTCGGCTGATGCTTTAATAAATCCGAGCTGGCCGGGTGATTTTGACGTGAATGATGATTTGATTTTTTCGATACATTTTTGAGCGTTGGTTTCTGAGCGTCCAGCTGTGTAGAATTTGCCGCCAGCCTTGTAAAGAATAGTGGCCAGCTCGAGACCGACACCTGATGTTCCACCTGTTATGATGAAGACTTTGCCTGTTTGTCTGGGCACGTTTTGCTCTGTTAGGGTGGGAGCTGGAGGGAAAAATTGCGAGAAAGTGACACCCATGGCGATTTTCAGTATGCAAAGGAAGGAATCGAGCTAGAATGACAATTCGTGAGATGATGGCGTGTTTGTGTCTTGACTTGATAAGACGCGAATTTGTTGGTGTTGTGTTGGGAATGCGTGGTGACGACGCTGTCAGCAGAGCAGGGGTAGCTCCATTGCCATTGCATCGAATGTAGATGTGATTGCGAATGAATAGCTCTGCATCAGTGATATCTGATTCCTACCGTTTTTATGTATAGTTTTTTCAATCAGGAAAAGTCTTTATTTAGAGATAGTATTGTAGTTGTGTTGCTTGTATGGTTTGCATGAGAGATCGTAGCCTAGAATGCCTAATGTCTGATGTGGTCACAGCCTGGGTGATTTCGTGTCTTTGCCTACACCCTACTTCATTAAATACCTAAAACTTATTAAACTAGAGTATAATTGTGTGGCAGTCTCATTTGCTTGAACTTTGGGCCTCGTGTTTCGCATTCTCAGGTGATCTTTGAGCATGGGAGTGCCAATATTAATTGAAGAAAAAGCCAATTTGACAGACGGATTCGAACCCGCGATTGCGTAGCTTTTCGAGAAATTACACCGCAATGTATCGTGATGAAAACTGACAGGTTGATGCGACCTTCCAGCGGAATGGATTATTAGGCCACTGAGGGGTGTCGACAACGGATGCCGCTACGGGGCCATATAAGAACATATGCTGTAGAGAGAAAAAGTTTGCTCACCAAAGATCATGGAATCAGCATGGGGAATCCTGTGAAAAGAGTGCCGACTTCTGTACTGCCTATCCACAATCTGATCATCTTCCTCCTCTGAGTATGAATCAAACTCATATGCCTCGTACGGCATTAATATTCAGAACCTCGTTTGAAGATATGAAAAACAAATGGAAAGCATGGTGAAGTGGCGAAGGGGGAGAAAAGCCCCTTTATTTCCGCAAAACAATCACGCTTGAACGAAAACCAACGAGAGCTGTTACGTTTGTCTGTGGGCTCGGAAATCATCAGTTTAGAGTGAATGGATAGGCGGCTTCGGAGCATGTTCTTGACCCAGGTTGGACGAATAACCATACGACTGTCCAATACGTGGCTCATGATGTTACGGAGCGACTTTCGGTTGGAGAGAATGTACTCGGGGCACATATTGGGAATGGTTTCTATGCTGGTGATCAAGGGGACCGTTTCTTTTGGCCAAAGTACGAAGATAACATCTATGTTCGTTATGGAAACGAACTTTGCTTTTTTTGCCGAATTGCATCTTTTCTACGAAGATGGATCTCATGTTGTTGAAGTTTCGGACAACAAATGGAGAGTCGCCCCTAGTGCAACTTTATTAGCAAACATTTATGCGTCTGAAACTCATGATCGACGTTTATATCCGATAGGATGGGATGCACCAGGCTTTGATGATAAATCATGGAAACTTGCAAAAGGACTGACAGGTCCAAGAGGCGCTTTAAAATATCAAAGTTAACCACCAGTTATCCTTCATGAAACTTTCACGCCAATCAAGGAAATTTCTTCACGGCCCGGAACTATCTGTATTGATTTGGGTCAAAACTCATCTATCATGACTGAGATCGAGGTTGAGGGAGAAGCTGGAAGCGAAACCATAATTAGGTATGAAGAAACCACACATGAAGATGGCATAATATGTATGCCTGTTCCATTATTCAAGGAATTCGAGACGAAAGTGTATTCGAAATTCATCTTGGCTGGAACAGGTGGTAAGGAACATTGGACACCTGATTTTTGCTTCACGGGTGCAAGATATATACAGATTGAAGGTGTACGCAATGCGAAATTTACAGAATCGAAATTACCGATCCTGCATTCTGTCTGTGGTAGACACGTCTCGTCCGCTCCTTCAAGGTTGGGAACCATGAAAACCGACAAAAATGAGGTTAAAGCTCTTCTTTCGGCATTGAAATGGACTTCCTCGAGTAACCTTTTCAGTTACCACACCGTCTGCCCTTAAATAGAAAAGTTCGCGTGGCTGGAAGTCACTCATCTTTTAGCACCAGCTACACCATACATGGGGAACATGGAATCTCTCTACACAAAGATACAAGACGATATTTTGGATGCCTAAGAGTGATTAGGTCTCATCCCTACCATGGCACTTGGAATGAGATATATGTGTGGTCCCTTACACGATACAATCAAACAGGGCTGCGCACTAATCCTCATCCCCGACATTCTCCAACGCTATTATGGAACCACAAAATCCATTGCCAAGATGTACCGAGCAGGCGAACGATACATGGCCTATATGAAAGGCAAAGAGCGCTTTGGTGGACTTATCGAACATGGCCTTGGAGATTGGGGTCGAGGAATCGCGCATGGAAATGCACAAGCAAACATTGAAACAGCTATTTATCACGAATGTCTACTCTGCATGTCGCGATTTGCTTCTCACTTGAACTTGGACGACGAGAAAAAGAGTTGGGAGAAAGAAGCGAAGAGAATATATGACGTGTATAATAAACACTTGTTGGTAACGGACGATCCATCTCGTCCTCACGCTTACTATACATCTCGGGACGACTACCCCAATCACGATTGCGACGCTGTGTGCCAAGCTTTCGCTCTCCAGTTCAACATAGTTCCCGAGGCGCAAATCTCTACCATTCAAACATCTTTTTTCTCCGACGTCTCGGATGGTAAACTGCGCTCTGGAGAAATCGGTCTAAGGTACCTCTTTAACACGCTTGGGGATCTGAGACGATCCGATCTATTGCTGTAAATGACGAGACAGAAGGAACATCCTAGTTACATGCGCTTTTTAAGTAGAGGAGGCACTACTTTACTTGATTTTTGGCAGGATGAATGTAGGAGTGAATGCCATGACATGTTGAGAAATATTTTGGAGTGGTTTTATGTCTATGTCTTAGGATTGAAAGTTGGGGAGAAGAGGTGGAGAACCTTCACTGTGGCTCCTATCATAGCGAGATTGGTACTGTGGAAGGAGAGTTTGAGAGTCCTTATGGGACGTTAGAATTAAGATGGAGTAAGATAGGTACTTGGATTGAGATGAAATTAAGTGTTCCTTTTAGGTCAACAGCTACGGTTGTGTTGCCCAAGGATAACTGTCATGTTTCAATTCATAGGCATCAACTGGATAATAGGAAAGGTGCCGAGCAGGGCAACAGGATTCAGCTTGAACATGAAGCTTATACGCTAAATCTATCGATATGGACTCATGTATTTGGGGAAGATACGATAGTTTAAAACACATTGATATGTTAAAAAGCAATCTCCATGATTCCCCTGTCACTCGTTCAAGACCCATTCCAATCTTCGGTCCACATAGAGAGCTAATTATGAGGATCAAATATATACTGCATAACCTTGAACTCTTTTCATCCAAGATCCATTCGGAGTAGATGAGAGTTTCATGTCTCATTTTTTCATCTTTTAATACAAAGACGGTCGTTTTGACAAACTACTAGAGAATATGATAATATACTTTCAACAATGTATGAATTCACATTCAGATATTTAGCCTCAATACGACTACATGATACAATGTAGAAATCGTAGAAGGACAAGATAAGAACCAATACTTGGTGTATTGATGAAGTGATTATGCTAGGTGTTGACTATCAGACTGATCATCACTTAGAAAAGTTAACTAAACCACTACTCTGATAACATAAGAATTGCTTCAACAACATATGACAATCAACTACACTTCCAATGCAACAGAAACATTATAATAAAGACTGAGATACAATAAAAGGAACAAAGCCATTCAAATTGATACATATGAACATATAAAACTAGGTGAGAACTATGAAGTCTTTGGCTCTTTCCTGAAGAACCACACACAACCCTTGAAGCTGGAAAGATCTTTGAGATACCATAAATTTGACCTAGATATGTATTATCAAACCGTCTCAACCCAATTTTGGCATTGTATTTACAAAGTATTGTTTTGTACACTTGCCACTGTCAAGTGATGAAACAAGACAGAAGCTGTGCTATTCTTCGTCGACATTTATATAACAGTTCTAGGATTTCAAACCCTTATCAGAAGGTAGAGAGAACTACTCCAACATTCATGGGATCAAATCAGATACTAATAGGATTACAGAAAAACACAAGGCAGACGATAACTCCCCAATGTATGATTCATACTTGAACCTTCACACAATCCAGACCTCACTTGTTAGTCCATGTGAAGGTGAGCCCTAACAGTCAGGCTTTAATGGCCTCAGGACAACTTCAATCCATTTGCAAAAGTGGCTAGCGTAGTTCAGTTTCTCCCACAACAATCTTGAACTTAATTTATCCTCAAAAACAGTTAACAACAACAATATCAACAATATTGGCTTTTCTTCAACTGATTTTGGTTGTTGATCCTTATTCGAATAGTGTTCGCCTCAGGCTACTGTTTTTTTCAACTCTTATTAATTAAAATTCTGCCATTGTCGGTTGGGTCACCGCTCGGGCCCTCTGATTTCCATCATGGATAGCTCTATTGACAGAAGCTTATCCCCTCCAACCCCATTTCCTACTCTCGAAACAACTACTGCTCCCCTTCCCACAACCAATGCACCAGGCAGAACAAGATCGAGATCAGATACACTTACTTCATCAACTGAGCGTCCTCAATTAGAGGATTTGATTCCAACATCGCGCCGTGATTCAATCAATTCAAATACATCCGATTCAAGCCTTATCAACGCAGAGCTCGAACGCCTTCGCGCAGAGGTCATTCGACACGATCGAGAGCTTCAAGAATCTGGCATCGATCTTGGAATTTACGGAGAAGCAATTGCAGCAGAACCTGAAAGTGAGGAATTCAGTTATCGTGGAGTTCAGAGCGCGCGACCATGTAAGTTCAGATCGAAACAATTGCGCCTTGAGTGTTTGCTGATTATCTCTCAAGCTCCCCGTCTGCCATCAGTTCGCCAGCCACTTCCAGTTGTTGAGCACCCTCTTACTGCTGATTTAAGAGCCCGTCGTCGTGGATCGGTTATTCACCACTCTCGATCGTCTTCTGTCTCTTCACTCCCGTCTACTGAAGACCTTCGAGCCTTTCCAGAGCTTGACTACAGACCCATTGTACAAGAGCCTTTCCACCATCAAATTCCACTCACTTCTTCTACCTACAATCTTCCTCTACTCACCTCTGCGACATACGTTCCCCCACCACAAGCACCCAAAACACGTAAGGATCGTAAGATGAATTATCAGGGTTTCGGTGATCCAAATCAATCCGGCCAACCATCTAACTCTAGACAAGCACCACCATCACCGGGTCAAGGCATGGCTCATACAAACGGTATGAACGGTCAAATGAACATGGCCGGAATGGCTAACATGATTGGCTTTCCAACTCCCGCCGGACATCAATCTGATCTCAACTACATTATGGTTATGGTTGAAGAATTGAGCCGTCTTTTGGCCGCCAATCAGAAGATTACCGATAGCATTCTTGAGAAGATCGGTAATGTTCGCCAACGAGCCAAAGACAAGAATTTGAGCAACGACGAGCTTCTTGATATTGTTACTGAGGAATTGAATGGTAAGTTACTGCCCCTGCTTTAAAGAAGAAGCATGCTTAACAATTTATTAGCTGGCTCGGAGAATCTTGAAATCGAGAACGTGCAATTGCGTAGAGAAGTCGAATCATCCAAGGCTGATGCTGACGAGAATTGGAAGTTGGTTCTTCATGCTGCTGGTATCCTTGAAGATATCAAGGAGAAGGCCCACAATTACAAGTTTCAACATGAGAAGGATACTCTTGCTTGGCACAAGAGTTACCGCGATCAACTTGCTCAAGAACGCAAAGAGAACCTCGAACTTCGATGCCATATTGCGGATATGCAAGCTCATGCTGCAAAGGCCAATGACTACATTAATCAACTTCGTCGTTATGCTTCCGAGCACAAGATCATCACTGAGCTTACAACCCAAGTTCATCAGTATAAAGGTGAACGTCGTTATTGGAAGCGTATGGCTTGTCCTGGACTCATTGAAGATCCTAGCGAGTGGTCTGATGGTGAAGGTGGTGCTACAGGCGATATCCCTGAGGCTGAGAAGATTGCATGTGCTCCGTGGATTGCTGAACGTGAAGAGATGGCACGCATTCTTAATGGCGATGGTGGATCATCTTAAATCTCCTCTTTTCAAATACACATTTACGATAAATTGGCGTTAGGAAGAAGGATTTTTTACGGTATAAACCTTTCTCATGGAAATTGGCGTAACGGAATGGGTATACCCGATTTCTTTTACTCGATAGCATCTACATTTCCATGGATGGATGGATGGATGGACATGGGTAAGGGAAACTTGTTTGATGAAATTCTTGTAATAATGTATTCTGGTTTCACATTGGGAATGGGAATGGAGCCAGCGATTTCAAGCTGTGCATCAAATATGGCAGTGCTGTTTTTTCCTCTGCTTGACGGCAAACACTCACGATATCACAACTCGCTCTCTTTTTTGAGATCATCTTTCTTTCCTTTTCTTCTCCTTCTTTTATGAAGTGAATTAAAGGAAATGTAAAAGGTGCAGAGATGTTGATGGGTTGACTAAGGACTTTCCTAAGATTTCGTGAAGATGAAATACTTGAATGGGATTGTGATGCGGTCTTTGAGCTGTTTGTTCGTTGGTAGGTAGTTTGTTAGTTAGTTACACGGTAGTTGAATTTATTCGAAATGAATGAATATAATTCAGCGTATCATTCATATACTTTACTTTACTATGCGTTCGTGTCCTTTTGAATGATGATGATATGAATGGGATGTGATGTGATGTAAGTCTATGATCTCCTGGTGCACCAGTATATGTTTTCCATCTTATATTTACTATTACTAGCATTTCTTCTTTCATCATCTACTACTTCTTCTTCTAAGCTGTTATCTTTTCTCTGTCTATAGAGTTTATTATGTTTTATTCTCTTTTCTTTATATGATGTTTATATTCATTTTTTCATTTTTTCATTTTTCCCCCCTCATTTCTTACTCGAGTAAGAGTTATCGAACTTACTTGCTACATCGCATAAATTTTGTAACAAAATTCCTACAAAAATGATGTTTTTCTATACAAATTAAAAAAGTTGTTCCTCTCTCCTCTCCTATCCTCTTCCCTTCCCTTCTCTCCTTATAAATTCCATTCTATTCTATCAATTTCTTATATCAATTAACCTACAAACTTAGCTCAACTTAGCTTAGCTTAACTTTCTATTCAATTAATTGGTTTACTATATAATAAATTTCTATTTCTATTTCTCTTGCTCTTTCTACATACCTATTCAATATATTTATATTATACTTTCCCCTTCATTTTTAAGATTACTGTTTTTCTTCTATCTTCTTTTCCCTCTCTGCTTCTGCTTCTGCTTCTGCTTCTGCTTCTGCTTCTGCTTCTGCTTCTGCTTCTGCTTCTGCTTCTGCTTCTGCTTCTGCTTCTGCTTCTGCTTCTGCTTCTGCTTCTGCTTCTACTTCTACTTCTACTTCTACTTCTACTTCCTAATTAGTGGGTGGATGGATGGGTAGAGTGGAGGAGAGTATAGCGTGTAGAGTGAGTGTGAAAGGTTTATTATATATTATATATATATATGTATGTGTGTATATATGTATGTGTGTATATATGTATGTATATATAGATGTAAGTGTAAAATCCATGTGAGTGTAGATATATATGTATATAAACATAATGATACATCACCACACGATATAGTATAATACAATACAAGACAGTGGAACATGATACATATAATTTGATTTGATTTGATCGTCTTCTGGTTCTCAATTTTTCTCCCTCTCCCCCTCATCCCCAGCCGTGGTATCTCTCCATCTATACATACATATATACATACATACATAGGGATATATACAAATACACTCTCTAGAATCATATCCTACCTATATCTATAATACATAATTTTATCTCTTCTCAACTCATGCCATCCTAATTCAATTCATTTTATCCATTCTCACAACATCCCTTCATCCAATCTCAACTTATCCTCTCCAAATCCATATACACTCCATCCACCCATCCGCAATCTCCCTCCCCTCCCTTTGCCCGCCAATCCACACAACTCCTCCAACCCCAATTCACAATCACACATAAACATTATTTCACCTCTTTTCGCCCATCCCCATCCCCCTTCCCCTATACATACCACAACTCCCACTTTTCCTAGCTAAAAACTCAGAACTCCCTTTTTCGAAAAATGTACAAATTGAAATTCCAAACAAATATCCCAAGTAGGGTATAAAAATTAACGCATTATTTTGTTCGCGCTGAGAATAAAAATAAGTAAGGGTATATAAGTAAATAGACGTCGAAATCGAAGTCGAAGCCCAAGCCAAAGCCGAAATCGAAATCAAAGGTCTTCAGACCAATCGAAAAAAAAAAGAAAAAAAAAAGGTATAATGCAACGCTCGCCATGCCTTTAAACAGCAGAAAAAAGCAACGCAAGTCTATTCCAGACTATATGGTATAAAACAGAACAATCCTCAAAGTATTAAGCGCCTCAAATCCCCTCTCTGCATATCCCAGAGCCACTACATCATCATTAATCTCGTAGTTCTCCTTTCCATCCTTGTCGTTTCCGCACCCAATCCAGCACCCAATCCACCTTTGCGTGATTCCTGTGATCTCCTGAAAGCATCTCGCTCACAATAAATCTTCCCACCCATCTCAAAATAATCATGTCTCAAATTCCTCTTACAATCCGCACAATTCAAACAGCTTGGATGAAACTTCTCCTTCTTCTCGCTTTCCAAATACTGTCCCTCAATACCCCTATCACAACCAGTGCACATCGAGTTATTCAATTGATGATAATGATGTTCACAATACGGCGCATCATTATGAACGTAGAACTCCGAGGTAAGGAATGGAGCTCGACAAGTTGTGCACACGAAACATAGTTTATGGTAGCGACCAGTTAGACGCCCATCTGCTGAAGATACGGATTTGCCTTTTATGGGAAGCGTGCAAGATTTGCAATTACCTTTTGAAGTGGCGGGGCGGCGAGGAGCAGGCAAAGGTTTGCTTTGATCAAGGAGTGGAGCTGTGTGAGATCTTTGGAAACCGTTCATAGGAGCTGGTGAAAGATCTCGTAATCGAGGATTTAGTGGCGCAGGTGAGGGGTCACGATTGCGGGGCTTGAGAGGCGCGGGTGGGGGAATACGAGGTTGGGGCGATAGGCGAGAGACAGGATTGGGGGCGTAATCTGGCGATTGAAAGGCGGGACTCAGAGGCGAGTAGGGTTCTTGTTCTTTTACTGGTGCTAAATCGCTTGGTCTGGGGTACATTTCATGTGGTGAAATATTTGCCATTGACGAAGTAATTTCAGACATAAGATCAGACATTCGAGGATTTGATTGCTGTCTCCTGTGGTAATCGCTTTCCATCGTGGATGGAGGGCTTGACCGTGAGCTACTTTTACTTCCTGCAGAAGTGGAAGAAGTATATGAATGAGTGGATGATTGAGAATTAGATGCAGAATGGTATGGATTATTAGCACCAAATTCTGCTTCCAAGTTAATATTGGGTAATGGTAGAAGATCTCCAGCTTGATGTCCTGATCTTCCTCTGATGAGACTTGCACCTCGCGGTGGCAATGCTCGTGACGTATCAGGACCAGAGATTGATGTCTTTCGTCCTCTGTCATTCGACTCTCGTGACCTATGACTTGATATGGATTGATTTCTACGTGAAGCATGAAAATCTAGACTTTCCTTTCGTCGAGGAAATGTTTGTGATCTTATAGCCTCTTGACGTCCGGGTTCCTGAGAATCTTCTCTCACTTCAGGTGATAAAATACCATATCCTTTATTGCGCGGTGGCATTGGGAAATTATTCGACGAGCTATTTGTCGAGGTTCTAGAATGACCCGAGCTTGTCGAGAGTGTTCGATCGATTTGTTCAGGCTCGGCAGTCAAAGGTGGCGAAATTATGTCATCTGGACGTCCCACAGTAGGTTTTCTATGATACATTGGCTGCTCTTCATGACCAGAAACCTTCCTTGAGTCCGTCGCAAATGGTCCTGGGGCATTTGTAACGACTTTTTGTAAAGATGCAACACTTCCAGCTACATTTGGATTCATGTAGACTTTTTGATTTGTGGATGTAAACATCATTGGATCCGTCTGTTCGATTCTCGGCGAGTGAGCGCCATGTGCACTCTTAAGTCGAGGTGATCCCGTTACTTTTGGTGTAGGAAAACGAGGGAAAGCAGAGTCTAGATTCGACGATAAAAGAGCAGGGGAAATTGGTCTTTGTATGGATGAAGATTCGTTAGCGCGCGAAGACTTTCCGAATGGTAATCGAAGACGATCATGTGGCGTCAATGGTGAAGCACTTCGAGAGGGAGATGCACTACTCGCTGGGGTCAATTGATCTTGTTGGAAGAATGGACGATCTATTGATGTTATAATTAGTATAAATTTCAATGGATCAATAGCTCTTAACATACTGGCAGCAGATGTATCGACCCTTGGAGGCATTGTTCTTCCTGGTTTCAAAAGATTCGATCCATTGGCATATGGTTGCTGATTATAAGGCATCCTGTCGAAGGTATTATTTAAATCAAGTGGTGGTGTAGCTAGAAGAACAATTATTAGTATTGATAGGCCATATATATCATGAACCTAAAAACTTACGCTCTCCAGCAGAAGGAGGGCCCGAGCAAATATGCTCCCCCATCATAGCAATTTGAATATCCCTCGCGCAACTCGAACATTTTATCGTTGGTAGAAAAGTCGACAATCTCATGAGTTCTGCCATAGTGAGCAAGATAATTTCTTACTTATGCCAACCTCTCAATTCCTTCAATTGATTCTTAAATATTGATCATGCAGCGGTTATGTGAATTGATGTTGGTCTCTTCTTCCTTCGTCGACAATTAAGTGGAGGCGGTAAAACGCTCGGGATAGAGAGAGGATGAGAGACGTGGTGATTTCTGAAGTGAAGGAAGGAAATCTATGGAGAGTGGCGATATTAGGAATATTCAATTGTTTCGTGACTGAATCCAATATGTTATATTAAATCTTCTAGAGATGATCTTCCAAGGTCAATTGGATCTGATGGCAGTAAATGTAAAGAGTCTTGATTAGGAAGCCAATTCTTGTGAGAGATATTGAAGAATGAATATTAGGAAAGTGTCAATGCGATTGAAGAACGAAGACAAAGATATGGTATCTGGTGAATGGGTATGGTATGTATGGATAGAATTCCTATGTAAAAGATTGGATGGGAATGCGATTGAAGGATATGAATGAATGTTGTGCTTGCTACTCGAGTATTGCTGTAAGGACTGACTGTGAGTGTGAGTGTGAGTGTGTATGTGTGTGTACGTGTATGTATGTGTATATGTGTGTATGTGTGTATGTGTGTGTATATGTGTATAGGTCAGTAGTGAAGATAAAAAAAACCAAAACAAAACGTGGAAAAGGTCCGGACGAACGAATGTTTGATAGTTAGATGAAACTCCCACGTCCTAGTATAGTGCGGTGTGGAGAAGAGAAGAGAAGAAAAGAGACGATCTTCTTTGAGGAATTGCTAACCAGGTACCTATCTCTCTCATCATATCATGGACCTGCGCAAGCTTTCACACTGGGAATATCTTTCCGTCCTCCCTCCTCTCCCCCCCCCCCCCTGGTCCAAGTCACATCCAGAATCCAAAATGGGATGAAAATGGATTCAGGTACAAGAAACATGGTGACCAGTCCTCGATGGTGAACCGTGCTGGCGTCGAGATGGAGGTTATTGTAACATACAAGTCCCAGAGCATAAACCTTCCCCGGCCGTGATTGGGTCATGTTTAATTATCTATTGTTGCGGATAAATATTATTTGATTTCATTCTTACCCAATCAATGGATGAATTGGCGATGGAATGATGATGGTGTGAGTAGTGCGACTTGATGATGGAGATGAGATCTTGGGTTTCACTGGTAAGTTTTTTCTTGATCGTGAATGGAATGCTTATTATTGTGAGTAGATGTCTCGAGTAATGCATTGATGGACGATTGGGGATTGAGGAGAAGAGATTTCCATCGGCACATAGTATTCGGATGAGGGTATGGAAGAATTGGAAGAATTGGAAGGGTTGGAAGGGTTGGAAGGGTTGGAAGGGTTGGAAGGGTTGGAAGGGTTGGAAGGGTTGGAAGGGTTGGATGGGTTGGAAGAATTGGAAACAATGGAAGATGCCATGGAAAGAAATGACTCGAGAGGTCAAAGCTACGAGGGATAAATGTATGGTGGGTGGTAGATGAACTGAGTAGTGCCGGTATGTATTGGGAATCTAGTACTCGAGTACTATATTATGTATCTTCTTACCTTCTTCATGTAACTTATGTGTATCGATGGATGATTACAAGATGGGAATATGTTCAATATCTAATATCTATCTGACATCTCTCGACCTACCTCCTTTTACTGTATATATTCATTGGGCTCCAACTTCACAGGAGCATTCATGAATATCTACCTACTCCTAGATGATGAATAATTACAAAGTAGACACTCCAAGAATACATCCTCACATCACATGACCACTAGGTATCCTACAACTATCCTACACAACTATCATACAACTTATCCTACAACTATCCTACAACTATCCTACAACTTATCCTACAACTTATCCTACAACTATCCTACCCACAATACCCTCCCATGCCCCTCTCTCAATCATCTAATAACTCTAACATTTACCTTTCCACCAATTAATTCTCCATCCCAGATTCATGAACCTTCATCTCCCTCCCGATTTGGTCCGTCCGTACCTTGTCCACCGAATCCACTCGATACAATTTCATCTCCTTCATCTCACTCATCGCAATATCCAGAGCCACTTTTGGCACTTCCACCCTCATTGGGCCTTATCACCATCCCTCCAAATCTCAGGGGCCATGGAAAGGTCCTAGTGCAATCTCTTCAGTCGGTCCCGTCCACAACACCCAGGGATGGATATAAACTCAAGGTTCATCGGACGACGCGAGATGTCAGGGACACGCAAAGATCCTAGACCACCAGGCAAACCTTTATCGGAGGAGTACGGTACGATGTACGAAGTCACCCAAAAGGATCCACCACACCAACGACGATGGAAACGAAACAAATCAACCGATGGCCTTCTGATTTACGAGTCCCGTTACATAAGTTTACAGTTTATTATACTTTTTGCCTCCATACCTGCATGCATGATAGACCTCGGGAAACCTAGGTGGCTACGCAATTGCAGAACCAAAATTAAGAAAAACGTGGTTTCAGATGTCGCGCGCTTCTCATGCGAAATCCATAATGATGTCAAAGACATGGAGAATGAGTATCTATCCAAAACATTCCATCCCTTCCATTCGACTTTGTGTGCCCAATTGATGGTCGTGAATATCTTTGGTACTTTGTCCGCGAATACTAACGCTTTCGATGATGGAAGAGATCATTTGCCTAGTATCTAGTATATCGTGTCTAGTATCTAACATGTAGTATGTAATATCCAGTATCTAGTATCTAATATCCAATATCTAGCATCTAATAGCCAGTATCTAACATCTAATATTCAGTATCTAACATCTAGTATCCAATATCCAGTATCTAACATCTAATATCCAAAATCTAGTCCCTAGTCATGAAGGAGTATGAAAGTATTTAATGAATCGATTTATTTGAATTTAAGGCTCCATAAATTCTCCTATGGAGAATAATATCATTCATCAAACTTGACCATTTGCAGTCCCTGCCGCCGTGAACCTAAGATTGGACCGCCAGACCCTGATGGTGTGATAGGGCGTTATTATAGAGAGGCATGATCTGTAATGTGTAAAGTACATAGGTAGAGGTAGTATAAATAGAGATACTCGAGGAGAGAATCGAGATTTGATTGTAGTTGGATAGGTATTATTATTAATTATTCTTTTTGATTTCAAGAAGAAAAGTAACTATACTAATGCCGTGCATTGCAATTATGTGTTATCCTTAGACATTGCACTTACAAGCAATCAAAGAATCGACTCGTAATTCTTCTAGATTCTTCATAATTCGGTAATGAATCCAACACAGACAGACAATTTAGAATTTTTTTCCCTTTCGATAGCTTCAATATTCTCAGTCAAACAACGGCTACTCTTCACAGTTCGTCACTGATTCTTCCTTCCCGTTAATCTGTCCAGCGTCGGCGGCTTACTAGCCCCTGATCTCCACCTTACATTTCCTGAAATAGCGCGGCTCAATTTATATGAAGTTGATCCCCTTCTATTCAGGAAATTTCTCAGCGGGAATTTGGGATCTTTTGCCTTCAAAGATGGGGGATATGAAGATCTATCGTGCTGTCTCTTTTCTTCCATTCAGCTGGTTGATGATGGGATGTGGATGGTCCCCTTTGAGTCTCTGCCCGTCAATAGGTAGTATCGCAAGCATGTGTACTTCGTAGTTCTAGGTATGTGTATTATCGACGAAGATTACAACGGGATCACCTTCGACCGTGATGGATCTGGAGTTGGCCTCTTCGTGAGTGATCAGTTCTATTGATGGGGCACCTTCATTCTCTTCTCCCGTTCAATCGATCTCCGCAAGAATTTATTACCTGGTAGAGTAGACTTTGAATGTACTCTTCCACGCCTTTCTTCTACCTACCGATAGACATTCTCTCCCACGCCGCAAGTGTCGGTATATTGTCCCACAGTCTCTCTCCAAACTTACTGAAACATACAACACAGTGGTAGAAAGACACAACAGTTGTAAGTAAATGAATGCCTATTCACCCATTCCATTTCCATTTCCATTCCATCACCAACATCAATTTCCACTTTGGATACTCAATCCGGGCTCTTGAACATACAAGGCCAACCAAATGTTCTCACCATGTCGCTTGTGCATCTCATCACACCTCCTTTCCTTGTCGACAATTCAAAAATACACGTGTTGTGATTTCCTCGACGCAATGAGTAATGAAAACTGTTGAAATGCCCATGGATGGAAATATATCTGCATGTAGTGTTCTGACCGCTACTTTGCTTCAATTCAATAGTGCTATTCTCTTGATAATATATATGATTTCTATACTAATGGGCACAGCCGCGGTGCGAGATTCCGTAGTCTCCAGGGACGAAACGTTGAGAAGGAAAGATATGGATGGGACCAAGGGAATATTGTTCCGTGATGGCTTCTTTGATACTAAATTGATCGGATAAATTGATGGTAAGGTATCGAATCAATGAGATGAGAAGAGTGAGGGATCACTACTAGGTATGTATAGGAATATCTCGACATTCAAGATTGACGAATAGGATAAACATCATGGTTGGTGAGGATTGAACCTGAATGGTGTAATATGGAATTAACAATCTATCCTGTAATCAAATTCGCAAGCCAAGTTGATAGCCACCTTGCGGTCTTGGGGATAATCTCTTGTTCCAGTGAGTTTGTGAAGCATGCCGTCTTCTCTATTGTGATCATGCCGTCTTCTCTACTGTGATCATTGCCATCTTGGCACTTTTCTTCACAATACCATACCAGACTCAGTCTGATACATAAAATCAACGATATTCTCCCTATTTCTCCACAACTACTCGGTAGATGCTCCAGATCTGCGCAAGACAGATTCACAGCAAAATCATGGAGAAATTGATATTTTCTTTTGTTGATCGTTATCGATACACATGCAACGGGGTGCATGCACCCTATCTCATCCAATCAACAACCCATATTCGAGCCAGCAAAGCTCACCCACTATTATCAGACGGTACCTTAGATTATAGCGGGGGGGGGGGGAGATACGGAATTCGGACAACGGATGTCACCACAACGAATTTAAAATGCTGAGACTCCCCCACGACTTTCAAACTTCCACTCAATAACCATACACTTCGATTCAAACTCGACCGTCTATTAAAATCAACTGCCAAAGCAAACCCCTTTCAACACTCAACTTCAGTCAATTCTACAGATCGCACTTACGAGTGTGATCACCCCGTCGTCAAGACGTTTTCTAATCTTCTTAACTCGTACGTATTGAATTTTATCTTGATAGTCTTGTGGGATGGAACAAGCTCTTTCTGCCGTGGATTGAGATGGGCGAGGGAGCAAGAAGGACTGTCTTGTGCATCTATACCCTCAGTCGCACTTGATGCATTGAAGTTTATTTGGTTGTCAATATCTGCCACTTGCTGCCTTCTATGGTTTGCACTGTTTACATTCGATTGCGGGTGTATCCTACCTTCTCCTTGTCAATGGCTTCACATTTTCTGGGATAATGGAGGAAGGAACATCCTGTGCATTCACATTGTATTGATTCTGCGGTTGCTCCCTTCCATAAGTTTCATTGTTTACATTGCGGTCGTCACCCATCTTACCATCTCCTCGTCATTCATCTCATACTTCCTTCCTAATATGCACTTCAATCTCTCACAACCTCCTATTGAGGGAGGAACTTCGTTACAATGTGGCATACTAACAAGTCATTCACAGATCGCACCATCCTTTTGCTGGTGCCCGTTGCTCTTCTCCAGCAGGAGCATCGGACTCGCCGTTTGTTAGATAAATAGTCTTGCAATCAACAGGACTCTTCTTCTTCCACACACAACATTTGCATCACTTTTTGTCTATACATCTGTACCCATCAAAACTCGAAAACATTCATACAATTGCAATTCTTGCTTTACCTACACATCTACATCACTCAGACGCTCTCAATTATCTTTACTGTAAATCAAGAACTGTCAAGCACTTTTAAGAACTTTTCGAGTTTTCAAATCAATCAAGATGGCTCCTCACGCAAACGGCTCCAGCAACACCAGCACTATGGATGGTGCATCCTCCCAATCCTCTAACCAAGACTTGTTCACCGTTAGCTCTCCAAACGTTATCTACACTGATGACGAGATCCGCTCAAAGTACAATTATCGTACTACCGCTGTCACTCAGTCTGCCAATGGTAACTTTGTTGCTACTCCCAAAGAAACTGTCTATGACTTCAAGGTTGAACGTAAGATCCCCAAGACAGGTATGATGCTTGTTGGTTGGGGTGGAAACAATGGTACAACTGTCACTGCCGGTATCATTGCTAATCGTCGTGGTCTTTCATGGGCTACTCGTGAGGGTACCCGTGAGCACAACTACTATGGCTCTGTTGTCATGGGTTCAACCATGAAACTTGGTACTAACGCAAAGACTGGTGATGATGTCAACATTCCTTTCCACAAAGCGTTGCCCATGGTTCACCCCAACGATTTGGTCATTGGTGGTTGGGATATCAGCGGCTTCAACTTGTCTGATGCCATGGATCGTGCTGGTGTTCTTGAACCTACCTTGAAGCAACAAATCAAGAAGGAAATGTCTGAAATGGTTCCACTTCCTGGTCTTTACTACCCAGATTTCATTGCTGCCAATCAAGAAGATCGTGCCGACAACCTTATCCCAGGTAGCAAGGCTTGCAATGAGCATGTTGAAAAGATTCGTCAGGATATCCGGTAAGCGATCACCATGTTTTACCCTTCATTTCATTACAATTCACTAACGCTCTTTTCACAGTGAATTCAAGGCCAAGAACGAACTCGATAAGGTCATTGTTCTCTGGACTGCCAACACTGAACGTTTTGCTGAGCTCATTGATGGTGTCAATGACACTGCCGATAATCTCTTGAAAGCTATCGAGAACGGACACGAAGAAGTTGCTCCTTCCACTATCTTCGCTGTCGCTTGCATCCTCGAAAACGCACCTTTCATCAACGGTTCTCCACAAAACACATTTGTTCCTGGTTGTATTGAGCTTGCGGAGAAGCACAACTCCTTCATTGGTGGTGATGATTTCAAATCTGGTCAAACCAAAATGAAGTCTGCTCTTGTCGACTTCTTGATCAGTGCTGGTATCAAGCTTACTGCTATCTCCAGTTACAATCATCTTGGTAACAATGATGGAAAAAATCTCAGTTCTCAAAAGCAATTCCGCTCCAAGGAGATTTCCAAGTCCAATGTTGTCGATGATATGGTCGCCGCCAACAATGTTCTCTACAAGGAAGGTGAACATCCTGATCATTGTGTTGTCATCAAGTACATGCCAGCTGTCGGTGATAACAAGCGTGCTCTTGATGAGTACTATGCTGAGATTTTCATGGGAGGTCATCAAACCATTTCGTAAGTTTTTTCAGTGATCCATGTTTATGTTGTACACTTTGCTAATTATAAATAGTCTTTTCAATGTTTGCGAGGATTCTCTTCTTGCTTCACCATTGATCATTGATCTTGTTGTCCTTGCAGAGATGATGACTCGTGTTCAATGGAAGGCTCATTCTACTGATGGTGCTACCACCAAGGATTACAAGAACTTCCACAGTGTTCTTAGCATTCTCAGTTATATGCTCAAGGCACCTTTGACTCCACCTGGCGCTCCAGTTGTTAATGCGCTTGCTAAGCAACGTGGTGCTTTGATTAACATTTTCCGAGCTTGCGTTGGTCTTGAACCAGAGAATGACATGACCTTGGAACACAAGCTTTATTAGGTTGTGTCTTTGGTCAGGGATTGTGGATTGTTCGAATTTCATGGTGGTAGGATTTTGATGGATTCTTGAGTCGCTTACTATTCTTGTTTACCTCATGGTGATACCTAAAGTACCATGCATTCATTCATTACCTAGAATAATTCTATAGAAAATTGAAGTATATTAAACCTTCAAAAATTGGTCTTTTTCTGGATTGTGTGAAAATCCCCGATGTTTTTTGTTTTTTTTTGGTTGGTGGTCCTAACTGATACATTTTGGTGTTCGTTGCCGGGAATTTATTAGTTGGGGAAGGAGTGAGAAAAAACGGTGATTAGATTAGCGCGAATTGCCTGAACACTTGTTTTACATCCCAATGAATATCTTCACCTTTGATAATAAATTTTCCGAATTTTCCGAATCATCATCTCATTTGTCTTGGAAAGGAACATTTACTCCATCCCCATCGATTTCGCACTTATCAACTCTCATTGATCAAATTGTGATCCAAGCAAATTCCTCTTCGTCTTCAACGCGGAGAAGGTATTAGAGTGTACCGCGACCGGGGAGTGGATGGTCTGAAATCTTCATTCGTGAATGTATGTGACTCTGGTATTGCCAATGACCAATGACTTGATAGAGAGGGCTTCTTTAGGGATTTAGGGATTGAGGTATTTACTTTGTTCATTGTTTTGGTGTTTTGGTGTTTTGAGGGGAGAATTTGAGGAGAGAGGCAGGAAGGGAATTTGAGGGGAGAGGCAGAGAGGGATCTTGAGGAGGGGGAGAATTTGAGAGGGGAATGTCTTTAGGCTTGCTGGATTTTCTGGATTTTCTAGATTTTGGATTTTGTTTATGATTTTTTTCGGGGGAGGGGTGTTTTTGGTAGTTTTGATGGGATGGATTTGGAGTGGTATTCAGATATGATATTAGGCTAACTATTGTCTTTGTGTAAGTAGGGAGTAAGTAAGTACTAGATAGTCTTGATTCTTGTGTATAGGTATGGGTAGATAATATCTAGGTGAGTAGGTAGCTAGGTAGACAGGAGAGGGGATATCGATTTGGAGGGATTTTTTGATTTGAGAAAGAGCGTTTGTTGGAGCTTTCGGATTGGGATTGCGATGTGGAGGGAGGAAGGGAAGGGGGGAGGAAGGGATCTCTTGGGTGTTCTCTTCTGGATTTCGGACTCTGAGTTGGACTGGGTTATTGTTCTTCTCTTCTTTGTTTTTCATGTCCATGTTTACTATATGATGTGGTATTCTTTGTGATGGCCTGCTGATTGTTTTTCACATAGGAATTTCTTATGAAGACGATAGTATTCCGGAATCTGGATTCTCTCCCTCTTCATCTTTATTACATTTCAGTTACACATTTTCTGCTCGGTAGATTGATCATTCTTCTAGGAACCAGATTCTTCGCGACCTCGACGGGCTGAGTACCTGTTTATCTCCGATTATTTGTTGAGAGCTCTGACTTTACCACATCCTTCTCTTTATCATAATTTATCAAGTTTCTAATTGTTGGTTTGGAACTTTGTGTAAGGGATGGTTGTGAGGGAATCTCTTTCTTTTTAGAGTCGAGGTCGGAGGAATGCTTTTCTTCTTCTTCTTCTTCTTCTTTATACATTCTTCGCCAGCCTTTTTTCGGGATCGGATACTTCAAAATCTTGTGGGGGAGTTTGATTCTTGTGTTCGATTGTGAGGTGAGTTGAGGGGTGTTGAGTTGTGTTGTGTGAATTTGTTTGATGCTATGTTTTCGGCGCACTGGTACTGAATTTATACTTTATTGATACTTCATACCCTCTGCTGGTCTGTTTATTGCGCTTGTGGTTGAGAATTTAGGGGTAGATGGTTGTTGATTTCCCGTTGATTTCCCGACTTGTGTATTCTTTTCACACACTTTCGATCTTCTAAAGTACCTCTTGTGCCTGAGTCAAGATTGTTCTATGGAGAAGTAATTGAGCGTGATATCTTATTTCGAATTCTCAATCGAAGGCGCTGCGCGAGAGAGTTTAGAAATCAAGACTGATTGGGAGAAATAATAGGAATACAACATGCCGTCACAATATCCTTCGATTCAGAGTTTCTTTCGGAAGGAGGTCAAGGGGGATCACGGAACGCCTGATTTGGGTGTGGTGAGAGAACAGAGCGAGGGGGCTGGGAATACAAATGGGATGGGTGATGGGTTTGATAGGGATGGTGGTGGAGTTGAGGTTGGTGGGAAGGATGGGAAAGAAGGGAAGGATGAATTGGGAGATGGATTTACGGTGAGTGCATACAAGAGATTGGGTGATTTTTTTGTGTTTTGTGTTGTTTGTTTTGATCTTGACTCTCCCTTCGTATTCGAGGGCTTTTCCTTTTCCAGTTTTGATGGTTTGCATTTTATAATATGTCTTGAGGTTTGTGTTTGTGCAATTGAGGTATACTTAGTGTATACGATTGAGGGAAGATGATGAGAATAGCGAATTTGAGAGGAGATGAATAAGGGCGAAGTTGGAGTCCATGGAGAAATAGTATCGATCCGAGCTCAGTGGCTGACATATAGGATGTGATAACAGGAAGAAGAATTAAATGAGGCGATGGATCCTTTGGCTAAAAAGTGGGATCCGAGTAGAGAGTATGAGAGTATGGCTGTGGGAGAATTGGTTCCTGGTATGTATTTTTCCAATTTCTGCTTGTGTCCTTGGGTGTTTTAAGTATACGGATCATATTTTGAAGATCTGTTCATTTGAAGTCTTCCTGCAAGGTGTTCTTTCTTGCATGAAAAGTATTGGATTACTCTGCAGAACTTAAGGCCTGGCGGGCAGGGAACTAGTGGGATATTGTGCCCATTCTGCGGGGAATGATTAACTCATGAATGTTTCAGGACCAAAAGCAATTACGTTCATAGGTAGAGTGGTTAGTTTCGCGACAATCATTGGTAAAAGTGCCAAACAACCGAGAGCTAGAGGATGGCATTATGTTGGTGTTAGGGGAGAATGTGGTGTTGTTTCTGTGAGTGGTTCTTGATTTGGTTCGCTGTCATGCTTGTCACTCAACTTCATCGCCACTGCAATACATGTTCTTTCATTCAAACGTTGCCAGAAATATTGATTTAAACTGACACTAAACTTCCTGAACAGGTAAAACTTTACTTCGCAAACCAATCTTACCCCCTCAAAATAGGCCAACTTCTTTCTATCTGGACAGCCTTCATATCCGATACTTCGAAAGCCGATGGTGCATCTACAGCTGGTATTCTCGTTTGCGCAAACTTATTCCCTGGTCGCAATACTAGTGATCATTTAATGATTCATACTCATCCCGGCGCTGCAGATGTTTGTCGCATTCCTCTCGGTTACATCAAAGGCGAACCATTACCTGGGCTCATGACATTGGAAGCTTATTTGAATGGAGGACATGATGGGGTTCTGGATGTGAAATTACTTGTTTGTGTTAAAAGTATCGGAGCCAAGAAGAAGATTGTCAAGAAAGATGGAGGGGAATTTGATCTTATCGAAGTAATCCTCTTTGATCATACCGGCGAAACGAAAATGAAATGTTGGTCGGATTTAATCGAGAGTGTTAAAGAATGGATACCAGGAAAAACCATCTTACTAGTTTCAAATCCAATGCATAAGCTTGATTATGGAGGTAAGGGAACAATAAGTTGGGGCAGAAATACAATGGTAGATGTGGAACCGGAATTTGCAGATGCGAATTGGTTGAGAAAATGGGCAAATGGATTAATGAAGAAAGAGAGTATAGGAGTAGAATTTCCAAGTGAAGTTTGGGGAGAGGAAGATGTTGAGGAAGCAATTTATGGTCCTAGAACGGCACTATTTGGGTTGAGAGATGTGGAGGAGTGGGTTAGAGGAGGTGAAGGAGAGAGTTTCACGGGCTGGATTAGTGTTGTGTTGGTGGAGTTGAGCTTGGTGAGGATTTGGAGGAGGAATATGTTGTTTTGTGGGGAATGGTTTGTTTTCTATTCTTTTCTTTTCGGTCTTGTCTTTTCCATCTACCCTGAATTTGAGTAAAGGTGCACTAACAACCACCAAACACAGCTGCGGTATCCAACTCTACTCCCCCACCACCAGCCTCGCATGTCCGCACTGCTCGAAATCTCTACAACTCATCATGAATTCGAAAATCATAACGACATTAATTGACGAAACGGGAATGATTGATGGAGGGAAATTAGTCTGGAGTGAGAAGGCGTGGAAGGAATTATTGGGGAGGGGGACAGAGGAACTTTGTCAGATGGGGATTGATGAGATGAAGATGCTGGAGTGGAGGATGATGGGGATGAGAGTTAGTTTGTGTTTTGGGTGGGTGGGAGATGGTGGTGAAGAGAGAGTTGGAGGGAGATTGTGTGTTTTGGGGGTTAGGAGTTGAGGAATGGGGTTGGGATGGGCAGGGAAGGAAGGAAGGAGAATGATGATCAAGATAATGATCGTGTTGGGATGGCTATGTCGGTGGAGGTCATTTGTCAAAGGCGGTGTTAGTGCTATTGCTATCTGCTCATCTGTATGTATTCGCGGGTACTCAAAGCATGGATCAAGTGTAAAGGAAGAGGATTTGAACTAGGTTTGTATTATCTAGCTAGAGTCTGTACTCTGCTATGTATATCGAGATTATATTCAGTATTGTCAAGATTATCAAATTTTCACACTTTCATAGCTAAATAGCTAAGTAGCCATATATAGCGACTAGATAGCTTTTCAATCCAGCCCTTTCCAATTCTCAAAACAATGATATCTGGTTTGAGGTTATAGATGTAGATGGAGACGAACTTGCATTTGTAATGTTAAAGTAGTATGGAGATCATATGGAGATAGAGACGTGATGGTGTGGAATGAGAGTGCAAAGAATTGTAGAGAGGTGAGGTTTGAGGTTTGAGCATTATATTGTGATGACTCTATTGTAATGATTTCTGTGCTTGTTTCTATGCCTCTTTTTGTACCTGTTCTTTGATATCTTCTGATCTCCTCTGATTTTATAATTGAGCTTTCTATCCCCATGAGAGGGAAATGATTTGGTAGTGGGGGATTGGGAAGGGATGTAGAGAGGTGAAATATGAGAGGTGAGATATCAGATGTGTAAAGTGAAGGGTAAGGGGTGAGGAGTAAAGGGGGGTAAGAAAGGAGGAGAGAGTGGATATGAGCGAATGGAGAAGATTGAATAAAGGCATTGGGAAAGTAAAAGAGAGGTGAGTACATGGAGCTAGTCGAGAAGAGTGAATCAAGGGAGGGAAGGAAATGGCAAGATAAAGTGCATTATTGAGAGTGAAAAGTGAATGAGGAGCCAGCTATCGATATACAAATTTTGGGGCTTGGTGGAAAGTTGACAGGAAAAAATAGAGGGGAGGGTGTATAGAAACCCCCACCTCGCTCGGGAATATTTCCTATCTAAAGAAAACACAAATACGGACAAGTATGCCCACGTTAGGATACTGGTGGAGTGGAATGATATAAGACTGTTGTCACGTGTGAAAGGGGGAAATAGTATCTAGTTTTGAGGGGAATTGAGATGGTTATTTTTGAGGGGGGAGATTATGGGGTTGAGGATTGATGATAGATGGTCTTTAGTGGTGTAAATTGGGGTTTTCATTTGAGATTTTGGTTATTGTCTGGGAGGTTTTTTGTTGTTGTTTCTTGTAACAATGGTGATGATCTTGCGATCGGAGAGAGGTTTTGATGAGATTGAAAGTAATGAGATGAGGAGGTGAGGGGATGAAAAGGATTATATTACTCAGTTTGCGAATTCGTGAATTATTGGAGCGGAGAGAAGAGAGATAAAATAAACTACTATTGCTTATACTTCCAAAATGAATTCAGAGAGCTGATGGAAGCGAAGGGGAGGGAAGAAGGAAGAGAGATATACATAGTAAGGGAGGAAGGTGATATGGTGGGGAAGGCAATGAATCTGCAAGGGGTCAACGAGGCAAATAGAAGATGGAAGACTTGATGAATTGAATAGCAAAAACAAGGAGGATGCTCAGGGAGAAAAGAGGGGTATCTGGATGGCTGTGCACAGTAAATCGGTGAATACTCTCCATAATAGTTTGAGTATTCACTCTACTGTATGAAGTTATTCTAGAGAAGCGGGGTTCTAAAAGCCCATAAGTTGTTTTCCTTTTTTCTTTCTTTTCAAGGAGAGCTGAATGAGTGCTCACATTTATGCCAAGGGATTTTTTCGGTGCTTGTGAAGATGTTGGGAGTGTGAAGTGTGAAGTGTGAAGTGTGAAGTGTGAGAAAGAATGACTCGGTGTGAATAGAACTATGTATTCTGTAGGGAGATTGAGGGTTGAGATATGTTGAGCAAGAAGCTTCGATATCAAAGTCAGAGATTTCGCATGAAAATGGGGGATAGTAATAAGATTTTTTTATTTCATTGTTGTTGCCGTTATTGTCACATTTTCCTTTACGACCCTCTATATCTACTTCCATTTCATCTCTGCAACTTCACGATCTAGAGTCTTTATACACAGAAACACCTCTCATCTACCTTAATACCTCGCCAATGCGAGAAGTCACTCCTTACGCGTGAACTCCGTAGTATTAATGTTTATGATTGAAAAATTTAATGAAGAGAGAGAATATAGGGGTGCAGGGAATCGATTATATCGCTTAAAATGTGAGATTACTATAGTGGGTCTTGACGAGTGGATGAGGAGAGTGACTTAAGCGAACATGATAAACGATACACCCGGATCGGGAACAAGGATATGAGATAGTGTTGATAGAGGGGTTAAAATGCAGTGACTTAGAGATCTTAGACCTGTGGGAAAGGAGATCGGGGATGTACTTAAACTTCATCTATGTTTAGTTTAGAATTTGATCATCATAACGACGGGAAGCGAAGCTAGGAAGAGATTTTTTTTTCTACGATAGACGTTGAGATGTAGTAATGATAGCTAGAGTCAAATGCTATTGATGAGGAACTGGATTTCGTGAGAATACTGGGTGTATGAGGATATTATTGTGCTTCATGTACTATCTTTAAAATACCGAATAACTCTCTTTCGACACACTTCTTTCTGTGAAAAAATGACAATAGCCCGCCCCTATTTACTGTCAACATCCGCTTTTACTATCAATCGTGAGTATGATATTCATATCATATGATTCCTGAACTTCATCTTTCTCTTCAATTCGTGGATATGATGTCAGTATCTCGAAAGATACTACTTGTTATTTGACATGCATACCTCGCACCATCACGGTTTCCCATAGATCTATTGTTGTAAATTTGATTTCTCTGATATGGAATTGTAATCATGGAAGTATATACGTGAAAGGGTGTGGGTAGAAGCGCTAGTTAGTTATGGGAAGTGGGGAGCGGAAGAAGATTTTGTATGTGTGTGAGAGGGTCGTGAATCATTGAAGTGTCAGGGTTGAAAGAGGTTGATGAGTGAATTAATGGAGTCGTGATACGAATTAGAATAGACTGAGGTCTACAGAGCAGGTGCATGTATCTGCGTATTGATGATTGAAATCAAATATTTTTAGTGAATAAAGATTAGCTGATTTACTAGCGACCCCCATCTTTAGTCCTGAATCAACAATTGGGTAGTTTGTAAGTGTTGGTATCACCATGGGGATGGTGAAGTCAATATAATACTATAATTCACACTGTTGTTATATTACTTAAGGTTTTAAAAGCTAGGGTTATAAAACATATTACTGTAGTGTTGGAAAATGTTAGTATTAATACTAATATAATTATATAATCCCTGTTTCAATACTAACAATTTTCTAAAATTGTTAAATCATATTCTTCTAGCTAATATCTCTTTTGCCTATATAACCATCCATCCTTTTAATTTCTTTTAATCTATTTTATAACCTTAATCTTTATAATATTATTATTAATCAAATCTTTTAAAGTTTGATACAACTTGAATTTAATTATTACATTTATAGGATTAAAATCTTCATTAATTCATTTAATCTTTATAATCTTTCATTTTTTATATATCTTTTAGATTATTATTATATCAATTATTAATCTCTTTTTATTGATAATTCAGAGTTTTGTAAAATAGTTGTAAAATAATTTAAAATTGATGTATATAATTAATAGGATTTTGTAATTTGAGAAGATTTTGTTGATTATACCTTTAATTGCTGTATTAATATCAAAGCCTAAAATCATAATGTAAAGTTTTAATACTAATATGCTTTTAATAACTCTCTTACACTTAATAAATAATTATTGAATAATATTAGCTTTATTATACTTATTCATTAAAACAATAATATATTTAATTTGAGAGAACAAATCTTTATTATTAGTAAAGGATGTGTTAGTAAATATAATTAGTTTTAGAAAATCTATATCGAGTAGAACTGTCGGAACACATGACCAACAACGTGACATTACATATCACACTTTACCCTACATACGCATAAAGTACGTAAATGAGGGTAGTTGTTACGACAGACATCACATGACACATTCGCGTGTCACATAAGGGAGCCTTGGGGAGCTACGGGCTCCAGGAGCATACGGATCCCAGGGGCTTTAGATGACGAAGGTCTATATAACAAATGAGTTTCATTAGAATATAAAGCTTCATATTCAAGAACAATCATTAGTTTCATTACTATAGTTACAAGAATTGTAATAGTTACAACCTTATTGAATTCCTATTTAAAATCTAGTTTAAACCACCTTGAGAGATCTCTAGACACTTCCACGTGACCCTAGAGGCAGCTCCCGTAACACTTTGAGCACCCTTTCTGCTTCAAGTACCGATTCAATACCAACCGCCAGTATGGCAGCCAACAGTTCTTCCAGAAGCCAACAGGCCCCAGCAAGCAACTTCGACGATGTCGAAATGACTGATGCTCCCAAGGAGATCACCATCAACGAAACACTCAAGATTGCCTTACCAGACAAGTACCAAGGAAGTCAACAGGAACTCGACACCTTCCTATTACAACTCGAAATCTATTTTAGATTCAACCAAGACAAGTTCACCGAAAAGGAATCTAAGAGTATTTGGGCCGTGTCATACCTCAGAGGCGAGGCAGGCAAATGGATTCAGCCATACCTGCGCGACTATTTCGAGCATGACGACAGGGAACGCATGCAACCCACAAGAACCATCTTCGACAGTTTCGAAGGATTCAAGACAGAAATCCGTAGGATCTTCGGAAACTCCAATGAGTTAGAGGTAGCGGAAGAGAAGATCTTCAACCTCAAACAGACAGGATCGGCATTGAAGTATGCTACGGAGTTCCGAAGATATGCGGGGACAACTAAATGGGACAAGGTCGCCATCATGAGTCATTACCGTAAAGGACTCAAACCAGAAGTACGTTTGGAACTTGATAGGGAAGGGGAGGACGATGACTTGAACGGACTAATCAAAAGCTCCATCGATGACG